AAGACAAAGATGGCGACTGAGAGGTTTCCCTATAGGATGGCCAGGGAAGGTCTCTCTGAGCAGGTGACATCTGAACTGAGACCTGAGGGATGGGGTGGAGCGAGCATGTGACGGCCTGGCAGGGGCAACGGTGGGGAGATGGGATGAGCTGAGCCTGTTCACGGAACCAAAGGCGGGCTGTGTGGCCAGAGCAGGATGAGCAGGGGAAGGGAGTGCTGCGCAGAACGAGGCTGGAGGAGGAGCACGGATCAGGTCAGGGTGGGCCTGGCCGGGCATGGCCAGGAGTTTGGATTTTTTTTTGAAGTACAAAGGGAAGCCATTGGAGGGTTTCAAGCAGAGAAGTGACATGAGCTGATTTATTTGTTAAAGGTGAACGAAAGGGAAGAAACGCTACGAAACCCACTTTTTTCTGTGGGTAAAGTGAGATAGGAGGGCACTCTCTCCTCTGCCCGTTCGTCTTCCACACATCACTTCCAGCTGTGGTGGATATCCGCTCTGATGTTTGCTCTATGATGTTGCCTGCAACTAGATTTCTCTCCTACTCAATGTGTCCAAAACAAGCAGGGGCCAGAGCTGAGGGGCAGGATGTGGTTTCTTCCTGCCGTGACCACCATCCCTTCCTCCGGTAGCCCAGAACCATTCCTGTTACTGTACCACTAGTCACTGCAAATCATGCCAGATACCCAGACTGCCCACAGGGTGATGACACCATAGAATCCTCCTCCTCCCCCCAGCTTCACCCTTCTGCCTCTCCTTTAAACACAGCCACAAATTGCTGGCCCCTGGGCTAAAATTTACCCAGCAGAAAACAAACAGCCATTTCCAAACAAGACATTTTCCTCTGTTCTGTTTTTCTCTTGTGGCTAGGGGCGAAGAATCCAATTGGCTAAGCCATCTTGGTAAATAAATTGCTAGATACAATCCTGCTGTCCGAGGCACACAGCTCTCTTGACACAGAAATAAAATGAATACATTCTGTCCTGTTGACCACGAGTTTCACATAATACTATCTACTGGTTCTAGGCCTGTAGCGTTATGCTGATGTGGAAAGTAGACCCAAATGGTTTACCCAAAGCAACTGCTTCATCCTACACGTGTTATTAACACCTTCTGGGTATTATTTCTCCCTTAATGTTAAAGGCTAATTGCCTGTCACAATGTAATGTTGATATAAAATTTCCAGACTCTATTTCCCAGAACATAAAACATGGTATTGCTACTATTTTTAGAGCAAAGTTTGGCCCTAGATGCAAATTTGATTGGCCTTGACAAACTGAAGCCCTGAAGCTATCTAAATACATATTTTCTGTTAAACACACCTGAGCTCGAGTCTTGGCTCCACCACTTACTACGGCTGTTATGTCTTAGGTGAGTTACTTGACTCCACTGAGCTGGAGTAGCCTCTTTTGTCCAATGGAGAACCTACCCCAGTGGGTTAGGTTGCCTTTGAACATTAAACAAGATCACACATGTAAAGTGCTTAGCACAGTTACTGGCATGTAATCAACACCCATTATTATTAGCAAAATAAGACTTCATGGTAGATGCAACTATGTGAAGTCATAAAATGAATCAACATTAACTTGTATCAACAGATAGCTATTAAATGTATCACAGCATAATAAAAATGACAGAAAGGAATATTAAAATTTGAAAGCGTTTAAGCATTTGGTTGATAATACATAAACTTGAAATACAGGGAGTCTAAAAGATTTTAACCCAGTTATATTTTACCCTACTAATTCACTACAGCCTCCCCCACAGTATTTTTACCTAGTAATATTCTCTGTATTATGATAAAATCTAATAATTTATTGAGAATATTCTTGGTGTCAGGCACTGTTATGAGTGTTTTATGAACACATTTAATCTTCATAGCGACTCTGAAATAGGTACTATTATTATGCACATTTTGCAGATGGGGAAACTGAGGCAGGCAGTTTGGCTCTGCAGCCTTCACTCTTGAACTTGATGATGTTTACATCAGAAGTTGGCAAACTATGGCCCAAGGGCTAAATATGCCCCCCCACCTGTTTTTATAAATAAAGTTTTATTGGAACATAGCCACACCTATTCATTTACATATTGTCTGCAGCTGTTTTTGTACTACAGCTGCTGAATCGAGTATTTGCAACACAAACCATATGGTCCAGAAAGACTAAAATATTTACTATCTGGCCCTTTACAGAGAAAAAAAAAAAAGTTTGCTAACCCTTGATATCAACTTTAAACTTCACTAAAAGATTAGAGTTTGGAGGGGGAAAAAATAATACCTTATAGTAATAATGCCTTGTATTTGGTTTTTACAGTGGGTTTTTACATATTTATCTAATTTAATTCTCATAACAACCCTGTGATGTAAGTAGTCTTTTTATTTCCATTTTAGAAATAAAGTAATGGGTTCCAAGAGGTTAAATAACTTATACTAGACAGTGAACTCTAGGAGTCTAGGCTCACGTGTCTCATCCTCCTATCCATGTCTCCAACCACAACACTAGGACAGAATGGCCTATACTTGCTAAGTGAATAACAGTTGTAAAGGTCACCCAGCTAGAGAATCCAGGTCTCTTCCTATTGCAGGTTCTTGCTCCTGGCCCCACAGCTGCATGGAGGTGAAAGAGGGGGGCTTTCTCTTGAGATAGGATGAAACGCGGGGTAGTTAACATGTCATCCGGCTGTCAGTTGACACATTTTTGCTGCTGCGCTGCTCCTCCTTCGTCAGAGATCATCTGGGTCAGACCAAAGGGTTTTTTCTTTTCCCTCAAATGCATAGTCATCGCTCTGAGAGAGTTCTTGTCCTTGTGATTGGTGCATTTTTAGACAAGATTACAACGGACGCCCTCATGAGACGGTAGTCACATGGAATCTGGGTTTTGGATGGATTTCAAGCCGAACTAACTCTACCCACCCCCTTGACCCACCTCCCACCCCATGATGAGTCACAGTGCACAGCCAACTGCCCTCCTAAGAGCGATGCAAGGCTTTGTTTTCTTTCATCTTGCTTTGTGCTGGTCATGTGAGGCTCAGGGTATTAATAGACCATTGGCGTGGCTGTCTGACTCTTGTTGGTCAGGGAGATAAACGAAAGGTTCGGCCAGTCCCTTGGTGCCATTTTTCGCTCCTCTTTTGACTGTCACATGCTGGTTGGTGAAAGAGCGGAACCAGACAGGCAGAGGGCACCCAGTGTGGTCACCACCCACGGACATGGCCTCTACTGACGTTTTGAGTTCTTGCCTCTCTTAGTGGCCACTTGGTTAGTTCCTGACTTCCAGCCTTGAATCACCAGTACTAATCTTAACAAATCAGCCTCAGCCATTTCTCGCTGCCTTCTCCCAGTCAGATGACGACATCTCTGCCTGCATGTGTGAGCGACATATAAGCCAGGCAGGAAAAGGTTTGGGGTTTTTTGGTTTCTTTTTTAACTTCAAGAAAAATTATGCTCAGGAAATTAAAAGTCTGCACGCGGCTTGACAGGCTCCTAAGAGGCTCCACAGGGACAAAATTTTTAAACAAACGCCTTGGAAGCAGAAGTTCTTTGAATTGCTTGGAGCTTTGATCTAAAGGTTTCAGTTCTCCTGTGCAGCCCAGTTTTTAGAACATTACTTTGCCACTTCCCTCAGCCTTGATTCCAGCACCCAGCACAGTGTTTATGAACCTGCAGAAAAGCTGGGCAGGGACCGGGCCAGGAGATGAAACTCCCTTGGAAAGTTTCCTAGGAGCAGAGATTCAAGCTCGAACAGGGGTCTTGGTTTCCTAAGTCTAGTTTACTTTTTAAATCTAAGGCTAGTGAATTTCACTTGGGGGGGGGTCTGGTGGGTTCTGGTAAAATTAACTATTTTTATTTTCACATCAACTTCTTTTATTTGGTAACTCCGTGAAAATGTGAACTGTGTTGAGAAGGACTCTGCTGAGCCCTCTCACTGCTTTTGGAGCAGTTGGTGAGGTTTAGTCTCTCAAGCCTCACTTGGCTCATCTGTTAAATGGGTTGGACTACATAATCTCTAAGACTCCCTTCAGTTTAACGTTTCATTTTCAACAATAGACTCTTTGAATTTTTTTAAAAATCTTGCCATATCTGAGAAGAATTTTACTATGGAAGGGAAGAAAGATTGGACTAAGGATGCACCAACTTAAAGTTATTGTATTGATTTCTTCTTCTTTGGCGATGATGGGGGTGGTGGGAAGGGAACATACTTCTTCCGTGAACACACCCACCTCTATTTTCCACCTAATTTTTGCCAGCCACTGTGCTAAAGGCTGTATGAGCATGCCCTCATTCAAAGCACTCGACAATCTTGGGGGCTCTAAGTTTTACAGTCACCGAGCTAATAAGTGGTCAAACCAAGACTTGAACCTAAACCTAGGATCCTAGCCTCTAAGTAGAAATACGCATATATACTGTACATCCTGAATTTTTCTCTATTCCAGTGATCTGGCCCCTTTCTACAGAAAGTTAAGTGCAAGAATCTAATTAATAGACATTTTTATTGAACGCTGCATAAGCAGGGGATATCTGAGTAAGACACGCCACTTCCTTGGAAAGTGCACGTTGATACTGAACATGAGCTTCAGGTGCCTTGAGAGCAGCCAGTGCCAGCGGGGGAAGAAGTTCAAGTGGGGGGTAGAAGAATTCCCGCTGGGACTGATTACATGACACTCAAACATTCACAGGTCACAGGAGGTTTTGTTCCCTTCGGCATACGTCAACTTCACATGCCGAAGTAGGACAAGTAGAATGTATTAGACCTGGCTGAAGCCAAACTCTTTATATTTAAAAGAAAAAAGCAATGAAATATTCAGCCTGATTCCTGGGTTTTGAATTACCCCCCCCATTTGTCTTTCACTTTGAGCATCTGCTTTTTATTGCGTGTGACCCTGCCTGCCATTCATCCCTCCCCGTCGTCAGTCTGTATCTACGTGTCATGTGACCCAAAAGCGAAGATTAGAGAAGAAAAATATCTCTGTATTCTAAGCCTGGCAACTTCTATTTTTACCCACAGCTGTTGGAACTGATAGCAAAGTCACAGCTCACATCCCTGAGTGGCATTGCCCAAAAGAACTTCATGAACATTTTGGAAAAAGTGGTACTGAAAGGTGAGCTCTCTTTCACTCTCTCACCCCTTTTTATAGGCAAGGGAACAGGCAGATGGATTTTCTAAGAGAGTGGACATGTCGTTAGATTTAAGGGAGTGTGAGTGGGTAGAAATGAATAACTCCAGATGCATTTTAAAAGGGCCAGATTCCAGTTCGGAAAGAGGTACAACTCATGCCCGTGACAAAGGGTGAAACCATCACCCTCCTGTCCTTTTTATTGGGATAATTCATTTGTCCTGCTAAAAGCCTCTCAAGCTTCTCAGTGTAAGCACATGTCCTAGCTGAGCCTCTGGATTCCAAATTCCTAGAAGATTGAGCTGTGTACAAGGCAGAATAAATTCATAGACTGGGTCTCTGGTTCAACCGACTCATTGTATATATGGGGAAACTGAGGCCCGCAAGAAAGAGTGATCTGTCCCCAATCATACAAAGAGTCCTCCCTCCGGGATTAGAACCCACGCTCCTGACTCCCGTCCCATGCTCTTACCACTGACCACCGAAAAAGGACAACACTGCAGGGTAAAAAGAAACTGCTTTCGGTCAGGTGAGCCATTGGCCCTGGTGTAACAATGAAGAGAGAAAGAGTCTTTGTAGAAAGCCAGGGAGAGCAGAACAAAGAGGGACCTAGATAATGGAAACTCTACCTGGTACCCTGGAGTGCAGAAGCTTAGCCAAGTGGAGAAGACACACCAGCCAGAAAGGAAACCATATCCTCAGAGGCAGGACCCAGGTAACATGAGCAGAATAGAGAAGCAGAGGCCCACTTATAAAATATAGTGTTCAGTCGCATAACTATTATTTCTTTTTTTTCCTCCCCACTCAAGTCCTTGAAGACCAGCAAAACATTAGACTCATAAGGGAGCTACTCCAGACCCTCTACACGTCCTTATGTACGTTGGTCCAAAGAGTTGGCAAGTGTGTACTGGTCGGGAATATTAACATGTGGGTATACCGAATGGAGACGATTCTACACTGGCAGCAACAGCTGAACAACATCCAGATTACCAGGGTAAGCAGGAACGCGCAGCTCCCTCCTAGCAGGAAAGGCTTCAGTCGGTCCCTTTGCCGAGATGCCGGGCGGCCTTGCCAGGGCTTTATCTCTAGTCTGATGATGGAAGAGCCTGGACCGTTCTGTTCTGATGCTTTATACTGGGTGCTGATGGAGAGGCTGGGGGACTTCCTGATAAAGGGAGACTGGGAAGGAGAACGTGGCAAAACGGGATCAAAGTATGGCAAAAATGACAGCCAATGGAAACGTGGTGGGAGAACCAGAAACTCCGCTTTGGGGAAGATGTTGGCTCTACTGCTGAAATCTTGAGTGCCATTTGGAGATCTCTCCTCTTTGCCCACTTCCTCGGAAGGCATATGTTGTTTACAGCTTTAGGATGCTGCCTTGAATACAGTAGAGCTGAGATGGCAGTGGCTTGGAGAACTGGGACCAACCTTTTAAAATTCTAGTTCCAAGTATCAGTAGTTATGACCATGGAAGCCTTTGATTAAAGACTGTGAACATACATGTGAGAAAAGACGAGCGATTCTAACTCAAAGCCAGACCAAAAAAAAAAAAAAAAGTCCTATATTACCAGCTTAACTACTATCAGTAGTTCATTTTAGCTTTTAAAACATAACTTGGTCCTCAGCTTTTATCCTCTTAATAATCACCAGGAGGACCAAGGTTCACAAAAACCTGAGGACGACGCTGGTGGAAAGGCTCAGTAACGGACAGATCCACTTCGGCAGCTCATGTCGCACTTGGCGCGCTTATCTAATCACGGACCACTGCAGTTTTAAGTGGTTCCGGGACCCAACCTGATAAAGTTGGGGTCTGCCCCACCTCTCAAGAAAGTAACATGAAAAAACCTCTTCGACCCCCTTTTAAATAATTATTTTACTATATGGAGGCTTCAAAATGCAGCGTCCTTGACTTTACTATGAATAGCCTCTCTGTGCCTTAGTTTCTTAAACTCTGACACAGAGGGAAGAATTAGAAGCTTCAGAGTTGTGTGACTTCCTTAAACTCACTTAGGCTACAACACACACACATACACACACACACATGCACACACACGCACACACGCATACATGCATACATGATGCAGAGCACAAGCCCAGGTAATCTTTCAAAAGCTATCTCAGTTATTTGATTATTATAAGAGAATATGAGTATTTCTTATGAACATCTACCAGATTTATTTTAATAATTTATCCCATTCCCGTCTCTCAAGTGTAGGCATGGCCTGACAATGTGAATTTGAGACCCAAATTTCCAGCTTGTCTCTCACAGAAAACCCACTTATACCTTCTATGTGATTCCTGGCATTCTCTATCACCTGGACTTAATACTTACTGTTTTTTCTAAGCCCAGTAGAGAATTACCCAGCCAGTGATATAAATGAGCAAGTCCCATTTGTCCCAAGGGCATCTTCCCTCCAGCAACTTTGGGACACCCATTTGGATGATCACATTTGCCCAGAGCTGGCCTCTGTTCCCTCTTCCACCTCATAGGAGCCCCCTTGGCAACATCCGCCCACTTCTATGAGCTTACTTCCCCAGAGCCCCCCTTACTTGATCCACACATACTCTTGGGAGGTAGCCATTACAGTTGCTATTACTCTTCATGGGGTGGGACCAGAGAAGCCCTGTAACTTTCCCCAAGTTGCACAGCAATTAGGGCCAGAGCTGAGGCCAGAACCCTGGGCTCCTTATTCCTAAAATGGCAACGCTTTCTTCACATCAGTGGTTTCCAAACTTTTTTTTCAATCCAGCTTTCTTCCAACTATTTATTCAGTGATCCAGCTTTTTGCAAACCTTTTAAATCTAATGAAATCCCATGCAGGACCAATTAAACTCTGAGATTCATCTCACTCTCCCTTCCGCTCACACCACTCGAGCCAAGGCAAGCTATTCTCTGCACACTCTATGCTTGGTCCTACCTTGGGCCTTTTAAGCTTGCTGCCTCCCCTGTCCACCCAATCTGTTGAAGCCACTGTCATCTCACCTTCTTCAGAGCAGTTATTGCCCTCTAAAAATATCTCAGACGTGTATTCACTTTCCTGTCTCCATCCGCTGGCTTTATCAACTCCACAAAGAAAGGACGTTGCCATCTTGCTCCCTGCTCTGTTCTCTCTACCTGGCTCAGAGCAGAAGGCAGTCAATACATTTTAGTTGAATGAATGACTGATTGAAGGGACGACGCCTCCCACCAGCTGCCTGAAGTACTTGTTCAAAGTTCAGAGGAATACAAGTGGAAAGCATTGCCTGTATCATGGACGATGATGAAAATTTACCAACTGTCGATTTGGGGCAAGCTATTCAACCTCCTCATGTCTCACTTTCCTCATTTGGAAAATAATGCACATCTCACAGCCCTGGTGTAAGATTTAATAAGTTAATACATAGAAAGCACTTGGAACTGTGCCTGACATGTCGTAAGTATTGTAAATGCATCAGCTATTATTATTATTATTATTAAGGGCTCACTCTGGCAGACAGTCTTCTAAGTCCTTTACATATATTAATTGATTCATCGAGTGAAGAATTCTAAGTAGGAGTCATTATAATAGCTAATCTTTATTGGGCATTGTGCTAAGGACTTCCATGCATTAGCTCATCCATTCCTCCCAAACACACTAGAAGATATGCTTTTCCTCATTTTATAAATGCAGAAAGTCAGACAGCGTAGTTAGGAGAAACCTGGCCTAGGCCTCACCACCAGTAAGTGATAGCACGGGGATTGAACCCAGGCCTGTCTGCAGAGCTGTGCTTCACTCAGTGCTCTCTCCTCCCTCATGCCCTCCGTCCCAACCCTCCTTGGCTCAGAGCAGGGGACCCACAGAGCTCGAAAGAGCTTTTCACACTCTCCAAAGGAAAGAAAGATCGTGTCGTGGGGGCGGACTTAATTACTTCAGTCTGGACTGTATTTTCAAGCTTACTTTATAACAGGTTGGACCAAAGAAAAGTATGTTATTACACGAAAATGTTAAGGTAACATTTCAATAATGGCTTTCTAGTTGCCAAACTTCTATCAGTGTCTTCCCAACACATAATCTTGCTTTCCTTCAAAATTTCATACCTAATTCTGTGGAGCCAATTTTTATTGGTAAAATAATTAACATAATAAAGGATGAAGGGGGGGGGGGGAAGAAGAGAACTGGTGTGTAGGAAGGAACATTTAATAGACTCACAGTGTGCTGTGAGCCAGGCAGGGTTCTGAAGCCCGTGGGGGCAGAGCAGACATAAAGGATTTTATCCAAATGCTTGGTTGCAGGAGCAAGATGACTTCTTATTTTTCTCTTCCATGTTTATGTAAAAAGAGAAGAAAGCACGCAAGCAGTTAACCATTTATCAGGAGTTAAGGGCTTGGCATGGGGTCTGGGCAAGGATTTTGGAAAAGTTCAGGTTTGAAAATTCAAGCGTGAACTCTGCCAAGTGGACTTTATAGGAGTTCATATAATAATTGGCCTGGGAGTTTTCACCAAAAAAGTAGATGCTTTGAAGTGCTGGGAACAAAAAGAAAATCTCATGGCAGTTTTATGAGCTCATATGATCAGCAGCAGATGATAAATGACAAATAGGTCTGGAGCCTTCTGCAGCCCACAAAGTCCTGAATTTTGCAAACAATGAAAAGTTCAACCCAGCAGCCTGCACGATAAAAATTGCCAAGTCATGGGCACTTCTGATGAGTTAGGGGGCTGAAACTGCTCCAAATCAGAGATTGCTGGAGCTGGAAGGTTTCTTCAGAATCTTCTAAACCAGTTCATCTTGGACACGGGGAAACTGCGATCCAGTCTTCCCAAGGGTCCCTGAGATCCCACCCATGCCACCTCCCATTCCTCTCCATAGTCCATCTTCCCAAGGCCCCCTGCCACTGCCCACCTCCCCTCTCCGTGCCTGTCCTGCTTTGCAGGGGACACAGGATGGAATGACTAAGACTGTGTGTCCCCCAGGAATCCTGTGTGTCCTGGCTTGGATGTGTCTCATACAGTCTAGTTCCCTAAAAATTTGAGGAGGGAACAAGACACCCATTCCCAGGATATTTTCCCCTGAGCTAAGGAAGGGTTCTTCATACTGTAATTTTTTTTCCCTGCGACACACCCCGCCCCCAGAGGTGGCAGAACACTGAGCGAAAAATGTCAGTAGTGCAAACTCAAGAGCTCACCCAGGAATCAAGGGGAGGACAAGGAACCACAGTCTCAGGTGATTTGTGCTGACTTCTTATCCAGGTGGCAGCCTCTAGCTGCTGTTCAGGACTTATCAGCAAATACTAGTGAGGACCTCCCGTGTCCAGACCGTTCCCAGAGCATTTACGCATGCCTCCTTGATAGCATTTAATGGATTGTTCTGTAATTATTGGCTTATGTTTCTGGGTCTCTCACTAGCCTAATGAGCCCCTTGCGGCAGCACCTCCAGTGCCAGCCCATAGTAGGCTGTCAAATAAGGTTTTTTGTGCTGGGCTAAGTCTGCAAGGGATTTGAAACTAGACCCTAGCTTCAAGGATCGAGGTCTGGGGGAGTAACATGAGCTCATCAAAATGTAAGCAATAAAGGGCTTACATATAAGTTCAGGGATACAGTGGAATAGGCTTCTGGAGAAGTTCATGGTTCATTACCAATGTATTATCCACAGACGAACAGTTTTCAAAATGCCCCATGGTGCCCTCAGTTTGACTTGAGCACGTGGTGGCATTTAGGCCAAAGGGTTCTGGACCAGCCATTTTCAAAGTGCGCATACATGTGCGCACGCATGCAAGCACTCAGGTGCACACACACACATCAGTGCAGGGTCTTTCTGTTGTTGACCTATTTAATGATTTGGGTTTTATTCATTCCACAAGTATTTACCGAGTGCCTACTATGTGCTAGGCACTCTTCTAGACGCTGAGGACACAGCAATGACAAAAGACCCAAATTCCTGCCTCCTTGGAGCTTGCATCCTAACAGAAATGTTCCATTCCAGCTTTTTTTTTTTTTGGAAAAGGGTTGCATCACATAACAAAAGGGCCAAGGGCTTGCTGCAAAAGGTATCTGAAAGAGAGCATAGGAATTCTAGGGAGATGCAAAGGCCTGAGGGAGTCACAAAAGCAGAAAGAGCCTTTCAGAGGAAGTGGGTTTGACTGGCTCTAAGGAAGAGTAACATTTGGACAAGCAGACAGGACTGGGGGAGGGGGCTTGTGGGCAGTGTGTTTGGGTGCTGGTGAGCAAACCTGCTTGGAGAGGTCAGCGGTCATTAGGGGACAGCGAGATACAAGGCTGGGGTGGCAGGCAGGGGTGCTCTGTTCAGGGCAGTGAGCCCTTCCAGAAGGCAGCGAGTCTTGGAACTGAGTGAACTGAGTGAAGCACAAGAATCCAACATGTGCCGCTGGGAGAATCTTTAAGAGTCAAAGTATAAAGCTTTGTGAAACAGGAAAATCCCTCTGGCACTGTTCAGCGACAGCCGTTCCAGGCTGATCTTTGTGATCTCAGCCACGGGTCCTGTTTCTGCACGTGGGACAGAGCGAATGACTGACTGCTTTTGATATCTGATCAATAAACCAGCTTGAGGATGGAGGGCAAGGGGACAGATGCAGCCTGGGAAGGCGTGGCCCGCGAAGTAACATAACCCTTCTCCCCGCAGCCTGCCTTCAAAGGCCTCACCTTCACCGACCTGCCTTTGTGCCTACAACTGAACATCATGCAGAGGCTGAGTGACGGGCGCGACCTGGTCAGCCTGGGCCAGGTGGCCCCCAACCTACACGTGCTCAGCGAGGACCGACTGCTGTGGAAGAGGCTGTGCCAGTACCACTTCTCCGAGCGGCAGGTCGGTGGGGCCTGGTGGGCACTCCTTCCTTGTCACCCTTCTCTGTCCCCTCACCCTCGAGCTTCCTTGGCACCCTTCTCAAGCTTGAAGTGTGGGTGCCCACTCTCCAGGGCTTCCTGGTTTGACTGGAAAACAACCGTCCCAGGAATTTCTAAATAATGTGTGTGAGGTGTTTTTTTTTTAAAAGATGGTTTTGATGTGGGGGGGGGAAGAAACTTACATTCTTAACCTATTCACATTTTACAACTTTCTAAAAAAAAAAAAAATTCACAGATTGGCACCAGTCCTTCTTTTCTATAACAAAGTAATTTATACTTTTATGATATTTTATAGCTCAAGTACTTTTACAGATAGTATTTCATTTTATCTTAATGACCCAGGGAAGGGTATCATGAAGGGTATCACATATCATGATGCCCACTTGAAAGAGATGGAGCGTCTGAGGCCACAAATGGCTAAGTGACATCTCCAAATTAGTGAAGTGGCTTCTCCAGGTGAGGAAACTGGCCTTGAATCTGAATGTGGGCCTTCCGACACCAGCCCCAGGCCTCTTTCGCCTCCTCACACAGCCTCAGATCTTTTTTTTTTTCCCTAACTTCTTTATATAGAACTGTGAGTTGAACAAATTCTGTTCATCATGCCTCTACTATTTAAACAGAAAAGAGAGCCACTGTGCCAAGCATCTCCCTGGAAATAATCGCGCAAGTCTATAGCAAGGAAAAGATTGAAGTTGTTTGCTTGATATCACCTAAACTTTAAAGGACCATCCAAATGCAGTTCAATAGAGCTCACCAACCACCTGTTACTTTTTTTTTTTTAGCTGAGCCATCCTGCCACCTGTTGGCAGCTCAGCTCAGCTCAGGCTGGGCATCGAACTGCTGTTGCTCAAGGCTCACACTCCTGAGTGAGCTCTTAACCAACTGAGCCACTTGGCCGGCCCACCACCCATTACTTTTAAAGACTGGTTAAAAGTTACTGTTTCAACTGGGTAGAGCTCAGGAGATACGTCATTCTATCTTGGCTATTTTTTGCCTAGCTATTACAGGGTAGAGATGGGAAAAGGGGGAAAGGGTGGGAGCCGAACTTTGCAGAACCAGAAAACCACAAACCCTCTTCTTGAGTAACTCTCCTGCAATGAACTTTTGATATTTAGATCCGCAAGCGATTAATTCTGTCAGACAAAGGACAGCTGGATTGGAAGAAGATGTATTTTAAACTTGTGCGATGTTACCCACGGAAAGAGCAGTATGGAGATACCCTACAGCTTTGCAAACACTGTCACATTCTTTCCTGGAAGGTACGTGTCTCAGAAATGGCTGCCACAGAGCCCTAGCCCAGCCCCTAAGAGCCAACAGTGCCAGGATTACAACGCCAAATCCCTTTCTATACTATTGCAGCCTCTAGCTGACGGTGAAGGGAAAACCAGTTCTGCCCCTGGGGAGAGAAACTTTCAAAGACCTTAATTTCCTTCACCAACACTCCCGCCCCTTATGTTTTGTTTTGTTTTTCCTGTAACCCACCCATCCCCAAATTCTCCCATCTCTTTGTGTACAAGTGTGTGTGTGTGTGTGTGTGCGCGCGCGCGCGCGCGCACACACACACACACACACACACACACACGCATGCACTCACAGCTTTTTAGTTTTTCCAGACCTTATGGCATTCTTGGCAGAGGAATGTTGCTTTGAGGTTGGGCAATGGCTAACGGTGCTCCAAGCCAACAAGATGCTTCTGAGAGCTCAGACCTGACCATTCTGTTCCTCTCCAGGGCACTGACCACCCGTGCACAGCCAATAACCCAGAGAGCTGCTCCATTTCACTTTCACCCCAGGACTTTATCAACTTGTTCAAGTTCTGAATCCCAGCACATGACAACACTTCGGAAGGGTTCCCCTGCTGATTGGTTGGGAATCCAGAGTTGGACACTTCATGTGTAAATAGTGTACATTTTAAACATTGGCTCGAAGCTTCTGAGATAAGTCGTGGAGAGGACGTTGGAGGGGAGAGATGCAGTCGCTGGCTGGGAATTTAAGAATATGGACTTCTCGTTAGAATTGGTATGGAAAAGTGGAACTACTGTAAATAAACCTTTGTTCCTAACAATTTGCCAGCAAGACTGTAAGGGCAGGAGTCCTGTTTCATCAGTGAAAATGGAATTCTCTTGATGTTCACTGATATCCTGTATAGTTTCCCAGAGACGTGGAAGCGAAGGGCAAAGCTCAAGTACAAGGTAGAACATGCTTTTGTTTACAACGTGAAAATTTGTTTAAAAGAAGAAAAGAAAAAAAAAGAAGAAAAGCTACGGATGAGAATTCCCTGGGCTTTTGGGTTTGATTTGGGGTTTGTTTTAAAAAGGCGAGAAGTACCACCCATCTTAAAGCCGCGTGGGCATAGGGCCTTATCTTACGAAGATGTCACACAATAGTCTACCTCGCAAAACATACAGTGATCTCTCTGACAAAGTGCGTTGTCCAGTAGGCAATGTCTGTGTTTCTTGTTTTTTTTCATCATATAAAAAAAAGTGATTTAAAATGGGAAGGGAGCTTGGAAGCAATCCTCATTATGTTCCTTTGTAGGCAAATGGGGCACTCCTTGGAGTTGCCGCTTTCCTAGAACCACCACAAAACACGCAGGCCTTTTTTCCTTTCGTGTCGTAGCTCATCCAGGGCAGCATAAGGCCAATTAAAACCAGTCCTAGAGTTAGTGCTGCCACAGAAAAGATAGAGCCAGTCACCCTGTAGCTGTGAAGACTTTCTTATTCCTGTTTAATCTCTTGGCTTGTCTGCTTCCTGCGGTATCTTCCCAGATTAAGCATAAGTGTATCTCTGTGGACTGGTTGGAGCCAGAGTGCTGATAAAGTCTTGTAACACAGGATTGACGTATCAGTGAAACGTTTTACCAGCTGCCGTTCCTCTTGGCGGGTGATGAGCTGGGGAGCTTTCTTTTCTTTCCATCCCACAACAAAACGGAGTCCACCTGGGCTAGGGCTTCTTACAGGGATGATAAAATAAAGCCTGGAGTTCCCGCCAGACAGGGAACAGAGGTGCTGTGAGCTCATCCTAAACTTGCTTCATACCCCATGGGGCATCTTGCCAGGAAATTATCAGCAGGTAACTAACTACGTGGAAGGAAGGAAATCTCAGGCTGTAGTGAGTTTATTGTCAAATGTTCCTGGGAGGGGGTGGGGAGTGTTTGTTTTTTACTTTTTATAGAACTTTGCTTTTCTACAACAATGTACATATTTTCGCCATTGTATTTGCTTTGCCTTTTTTTTTTTTTTGTAAATAAAATGATCGCCCTGCATGTACCTAGGCAAATAAGTGAAGCAGAGATAGGAAGTTGGTTCACATTCATGTTGAAGAACAGTGAATCCTGAGGGGTTGAACTTGGGGTGATCTGAAGAGGGCAAAGATAGTTCCACGTGTACGGAAACATGCCCAGGGACCAGCTAGCAATGCAGGGCCTCTCCATGCCCGTCCCTCAACACGCAACCCGAGTACCTGCATTTGGAAGAGACGCCAGCTAGTCGGTGCTCCTCACCTTGTAGTGTCTGTGCCTATCTTAGGGTTTCTCAATATTTTTCCATTACCACCCTCCAAGAAGAAAAAATTAAATTGAATTTAAAGTCTCCCTAATGAGAAAAATTAAAGATTAACCAATAAAATCTTGTTGGGTCAGGTTGAGCTTTGGAGGGCCACAAGCCATTGTAATACTGAGAGGCGTGTCAAGGTCACACTGAGGATGAAAAACCTAGTTCTTCCATAAGTCAGACAGGCTCTCTCAAATGTCTCTGCTTCCTTAAAGATGTCAGGGGTGGAGCTGGGTCTGTCGTTGCTGTGAGAGCTCTGGAACCTTTGACTCTGATCATTTGAGGTTTATTCAAGGCCTTCCACGTTCTTCCCACCAGCTCACGATCTCTGCCCCTTCATGCTGACCAAGGAGGTGGAAGCCCCTGGGCCCCTTCGGGCTTGCAGTCCCAGAAGCGTTGCCTGCTCTGGGCTGTCAGCACAAAGCTGGCGAACCAGTCTCCTTTGGACTGTCTGCCATGCTCGTGATGGCGCATGATGCCCCACGCGGCTAGACGCCTCGGTGCAAGATGACCCCGACCATAAGTGACAGAGTGATGGTTTTCTGAAACGTTTACCTAGATGGTGCCTCTGGGCTCGCCCACCTCCTTTGGTGTTATTGGAGGTGGTGCGTGACAGAGTCGAGGGACATGTTTAAGGAGAGAAAAAAAGAAGCCGACTTTTGTGGTTGTCTTCCACTGGAAGAGGAGAGTAAGAAAGGAAATGGCAGGTGCAGCGGGAGAGGGAAGGGAAGAGAAATGGCGTATCTGTGGTGCTGAGGTTCGTGTGCGCGCCGTGGGCATGAGCGCCGCGGGCACGGGGCATCTGTGTTGGGGCCACGTGGCAGCTGTGAAGCGTGGCCAGAGCCTCCTGTGTAAGTGAAGTGAGGTTAAAAAGAAAAATCTTGTTCCCTGGGCATTAATAATCTATACAATTTCTATTGTCAAATCCTCCCAGGATAACCTGACCTAAAAATCAAAAAGCAGAGAATCCCTGTCTCAGAACTGCTAGTCTAAAAGCCAGAAGGGACGCGATGATGGAAATTGCCGGGAGAGATAGAATGCTCTACTCTCTCTGTTGTGCTGACCTACCCCCCACCCCAACCTTGTGACGTAGAATTTGAAACTGATATCCAATATGAAGTAATTTCGGCTTTCAGAAAAGGAAAGAGTTTTGTCCAGGGCAATGGGAACCAATCCATAGGGAGGTTATAAAATTTGGCCCAACTCAAAAGGTTTCTGAGCATTGAGCCTAGAATTTCTTGAGAATAAAGCACAGCCTTTGAGGAGAGGGACTATGCGAACGAAGCTTAGGAATACTCACTTTAGAGCAAGAGCCAGAAAAAAGTCCTATGACATTTTAAGCTAGATAGTATTCTTCCTCAAGGCTGTTATTTTGAACAGATGGATCAGTCACGTGGCAGGATGAGTGGCAGAAACTACAGGTAAAAACATCCCCAGGGTGTCACTTGCGTGGTGACATTTTAGTGATGATCAATTTTATATAGAAGTGGGTTGAAGGAGATATTTTAGATGAGCTGGATTTCCACCGCAAAACTGAACACAAGAGCAGGCTTTATTTGGTGATGGTGAAATAAGCCAATGAGTGCATATTGCATTATTGTTTCAGTTCCCATTTTTGTGGATTCAAAAACTGTTTTTCATGATGAACTTGCTATTAGCAGAGGCTCCGTGTTCCTCTTGTTTTTATGTGGGAGAAGAGAAAGAGTTTGGAATTTCATTTGTCTAAGCAAGTGGTGTGATTTACAAAAAGGTCAATCATTTCAAGACATGTTCAACAGTTTATCATCTTTAGCGTTCAATACAATGTTTATCATAAGATATGCACCTGAGTTTATATTTTTCTGCCAGGCTGTAGGGAAAAATAATGTCTTGCGATGGCAAACACTATTTTATGTGTGAATTTTTTTAACTGTAATTTTATGTGTGAATTTTTTTCTAACTAAACTATATCAGTTTCTATGTTGACATCTGTTGTGTTTTTTTTTGTTGTTGGTTTTTTTTAATCTGTTTCCAACTATCTGAGTCTGTGAACCATCCCTTCTGACTGGATGCTGGCCTAAAATCCTATTCGTGTTTAAAAAGACCTTAGAAACACCCTGAACCTCTAGGCAAATGCAGACACTTGAGTCTGATATATCTTGGGCTCTTGATGTCTTCAACAAACAAAATTGTAATTCCTTTCAACTCAGTGTTTTCTGTAGATGCTTTCTTCTCTGTTTTGTTAAGGAAAATAAACCCTCTGTGGTTTTCCAAGAGAAGGAGACTCTAACCCCAGACTTTAGTGCTGGAAGGGAGGATGGGATGGTGAAGTCTGGCACTCTCTCTTGCCTCTCAAGGTGACACAGGAGGTCCAGAGTATTCAGGGGACATGCCTCAGCCCACCTGCTACTCAATGGTGGGCCTGAGTGTGAACTTGGGGGTTTCTGAGGTCTTGATTTTTGTGCCCCCTTCCCCAGCATCTTTTGGTGTGGCTGGAGACAGGTGGCAACCGACCTGATTCTTCTCAAGACCCTTCGCTGTGGAAGGTCTAGTGTTAGGCATCTGGCCGTTAATCTTCCCAAACATGCTAAGTCCCTGATTCGTTCTGGAAAAGTTAAGGAGCCACCTAACGTTTTTCACAGACTTCTGACTCTGTTGTGAGTGTAGCATTCTAGTGAGTGCAACCTAGTGAGCGCCATAAAGTAAGCAGCATGCTTTGAGAAATTCATTTTTCCCTGGGTACTTACATTTTAATTACAAAGGTGGCCCTTAAGATAGGTAATGGCTGAACAACCGGCTTACTTACTAGAAACTGGGGTTCTGATGATTACGAAGCAGGTATTTCCTCTCCCTTAGACTAAGAGGTACATTTAATCCAACCTCTCCATTTCCCTGTCCTCCGGTACCTGTTGTGGATACCATCCCGTGAGCTTCTATCCCAGTGGAAGTTCACTCTCTGCTAATTTCATCTTTACTAAACAAAGTAAAGGGGGATTATTCCACGAGGCAGCAAGGAGCAAGGGACCACAAGATCCATGACTTTGTATGCTGGATATTTTTCCAAGTGTCCTTGAACTCACTCAGCAAACAAAGCTTCTTGAAAAATCCCTCAAAACTTAGGCCCTGCTCCATTTGGCCAAAAATGAATGGCTGCTCCAAAACCCTGAACTTCTTGAAACTCCATCTGCTACAATATTACTTCTGGAGTTTGAACATGACTTTTTCTGTCTTTGAGTATAGAAATATTTGTTTAATTAACGATATACACCAGTCTGTTAAACAGAAGGCTCTAAGCGGTACTCTACACTTGGTGCCATCTTTATTTTACCAAGTGCCAATCACCCTGGCTAAAGGGGGTGTACATTCAAGTCCATGTCCAAAGCTTAGAGGCTTTACCTTTTGAATGAAAAATGCTATGGGGGGGTTGAACATTGTAACTAAAAGTATAAGGTTAGACCAATTACATGCAAAGGTGTTTATTTAATATTGTGTGAGCTGAGTCCTCCTGTATAAATTATTTGCACACTTTTCTTGCATGATGAACTGATTTTTTTTATAGTTGTTTGTACCAGACGGTGCATATTTTTGTAAAAAATTTTTGACACTGAATTGCAATAAATGTTTTTTCCAACAACATAACACTGGTACATTTTTTGTGTGTGTCAATTCAAGTTGGCTTTTTATCATACTGAGTTTGTTTATCTTTTGCCTAGCGAGGCTTACATTCCTTCTCCCAGAAACTGATCATTGTTGTAAAATTTCTAGGAATACATAGAAAAAGATGCTTGCTGCTGAGTACCAACCTGTGTCAATAATACAGCATTATGCTTACATGTGAGATTTCCACTTACTATCTGGATAGGACAATGATTAGGGAATAATAAACTTGGAAGTCAATATCAATTAATTCATCAACAGGCATTTATTGACTAACTACTATATGCTAGACTCTGTGCAAGGTACTAGGATAGGATGGTCAACAAGACAGGTAAGGTCCCTGCCTTAATGGAATTTAGATTCTAGTGGAAAGACAAAAGAAGTAGGAAAAAAACCTTTAATTTGACCAAAAAAGTAGGAAAAAAACTTTAATTTGTAATAAGTGCTATGAAGGGAATAAAAGGGCTGAGGTGCAGAATAACAAGGGGGGCCGGCTTCAGACAGGCCGAGCAGGGGGCCTCTCTGAGAAAGGGGCGTTTAAGCTGGAACCTGAAAGCTGAGAAGGAGCTGGCCTCAGAGGAATAAGGCCATGAGCATTCCAGAAAGAGGAACCGGCTGTGCAAGGTGCAGAGTATGGTCCTGCCACTTACCGGCAGTGTGGCCTTTGTCGCCTTAGTAACTCCTCTCTGTCTCAATGTCCGACTCCAAGATGGTGATAATAAATTGATTTCTTTAGTGAGGGTTAAGTGAACTAATAAATACCTGTAAAGTGCTTGGAGCTAGGCATATAATATGAGTTCAATAAACGTTAGCGATTACGATTCCCTGAGCAACAGGAGTCTGCAAATCGGGTTAGGAATTGCACTGCATTGCCAGTAGGGTGGGATTTGCTCAGGTGACTTACTTGTGAGTGATTGACTTACTCCATACATTCTCTCTGCAACATACCCTGATCCTGCCATTAACTCTTCATCAGAAAATAACATAAAAGGTTTGTGAGAGATCTTTTTTTTAAATTTCTACCAGGATCAGAAAATGTCACCATTCCATAAATATCCCATGCATCCTTTGCTCAGGCTGTTCCTCCTACCTAGAATGCTGTTCCTCCTGCCCCTCTGCCTGGTAAGCATGTATTGCTTGTTAGGGCCACCTGCTCGCTGAAGCCTCCTCCAACTGAATAAATCTCATCTCCCATAACGTTGTACAATAGTTTTATTTGTGGCTGTGTCATAGTACCCATCACAATGCCAGAGCTGAATAAATTAATGAACCCACACATATTCATAAAATGCTTTTGAAAGTCTCACTTATAACCACATACTTAACTTCAACTAGAATAAGAATCAGCATAAGTTTATGTGCATAGTTTCTTGGTTAATAATTATTGGTGGTTGGTAGAGTAACAAACGTAGAGACCCCGTTTTCATGAAAGTTTCTTTTAAACTCAACGAAATTTTTACAAGTCTAGTAAATTTCCATACAAAATAAGAGCTCCTTCTTTTACTGTTTGATCGACTCACATTGAACAGGCTAAAGTCCCTTTAAAAAACAAGCCCCTTGGGCCGGCCGAGTGGCGTGATGGTTAAGAACTCGCTTGGGATGCCAGAGGGCCCCGGTTCGGATCCCACATATGAGGGCCAGTGACACTGCCCTCCACAGCTAAG